AGTCCTTGACAGTGTGCGCCAAAGACCGACAGGACTGGCGTCTCGGCACCAAAGAAGCCAGTCTGTCAGTCTGTGAGTAAATTCCATACACAACTTTCAATTATTGAATGAAACAAACACACGCAACACCAACACACACACACACACACACACACACACATGCAGCATGCGCAGGCTGCATAAACAACAAATATTTGTAGCATAACTGCGGGCGTTTCATGTAAACGGCGCATGTCGAGCGCCAATTAAGCCCCAAAAACGTAAACAATTTCTTGCATTTCCATTTCACACTAGTTACCAATGAAAATAGCATGACAGCAAGATATCCATCGCACTATTAACACGTACTCGACTATGAAATACCCTGTAAATAGTTTTTATGTGAATTTATGTTAGAGCAATTGCAATTTGTAATGTAACAAGCAAAAGGAAGCATCTTTTCCAAAATGTATCCAAAATTTATCTATCTATATATCTACCAATCTACCCATATTCGTCCGTCCGTCCCTCCGTCTGACCCTAAGTATGAACGTGACGATCTCCGAACCTACAAGAGCTTGAAACTTGAAATTTTAAACGTGGGTCCTTTAAGTGCCCGCGCAGTCCGATTTTGTTTGCAATAATCGATGACTTGCCCGTTTGCAAACAATCGATAAATATCGATATTTACATTTTTTCCATTCTCTAAGACTTTGGTGACTAAATTTAACAATTTTTCATTTTATAGCTAGAGCTGAAAATATATTTGAAACCTTTCCAAAAATATGTATGTTTTTTAAAAAACTTTTAGGATAACATCAGACCAAATCATACGTGACGAAGGCTCCAGTCATCGCATTTAACTTAACTAAACTTAGGCAATTATGTTACACAAGTTAAGTTAAATTATTAACATTTGGAATGTATGCGACCAAGATCTTAAGGAAATGGAATCCAGCCTCACGAATCAAGCCTTAAGTTAGGAAGCTGCACAAATTTAGCCGCCAACAATTTTTGTAATAGCTTTTCCGATTTTTTTTTTTTTTTTATATAAAATATGAATTTATATATACTTATTTTTACTAAGTATACAATCAAAATTATCTCTTTGTAGGAATTAATATTAGCTCGTAAGAGGGGACATCTATAAAATCCTTAAAGCTTGACTTGAAGAAATATTAATAATTTGCTAAATAAGTGCGCACAGCATATAAAATAATCCTTATGTGTTAAACTATTTTCTGATCTGCCCATATATATAAGTCCAAGATACTCTATGCAATTTATGTACAGGGTACAAATATATTTGCGTGCTGCGCTACGTTCGCGCTGTTCAACTAGTTGGATACTTCAGCAGTGCAACCACCCACACCCAACTCCAGCCCCCCCTGCCGTGCCCTCACACTTTGATTTCGCTTTTCACCGCAGACTTTCCCAATATATGTATATATCTGCGTGGCCTCGTCTGTGGTCTCTGCGGTGCCTTTGAGCCGAAAGTGAATGTTAGCAGTGAATGGGGCACATGCACATATATACTACATGCATGCCCATAAATATATATACACATATATTGTTGTTGGTTGAAAGGTCGAGCTGCATTTATCTAGTAACTGCGAAATTAGCATTTGGCATTTTGAATTTTTCGCTCTTTGTTGAACTGTTCTAACGTATTCTTGTTAGGTTTTTTTTTTGTGCTTGTTAAGTTCTGTAAGGTCAACGGAAATGTTATCCAATTAGCGATAGTCATCGAATCGTTTTCTCGTCGATTCAGAAAAGCCGCATAGATTTGTAGTTCTACTTTTAAACTTTATTTGCAGACAATCCACAGAAGATGCAAGAGCCCGTTGCTTAGACTAAATGTCAAAGCAGGATTAGAAACTGTGCCAAGGATAAGATAGAACCATGTCAAATGTGGGTAAACACACATCATATACCTATTAGATTTAGTAAATGCTAAAAGTCTTTGCAGCCGCTGAACATGGACAAATCGAATGGCAATGGCGTGTATGCAACGAGCAGCTGCCACATGGATAATGTGGCTGCCACAACAACAGCCATGAACACGGCAAATAATATAAATATTATGAATGGCGCCGCGGCTGTTGCAGCTGCCGCAGCAGCCGCCACGCTGCCCACATCCGCCTCCAGCGAGGATCTCAGCCAGAGCCTGTCCGAGTACACGGATGCCGACGAGAGCATATCAGCACCCACAGAGTTTCTCGCCGAGGTAGGAGGAAACAAAATAATACAAAAAATGTGATATGCAAATAGCAAGGCTGAGAGCGAAATTTAATTTAAAATCCCTTTCAAGGGGATTATTGAAAGTTGCTTTTGTGCTCCAGCTTATTGATGGCCACTAAATTGTTTTCGAGCGCATTTAACTTTTAAGCCCAGCCAAAAGTTGGCCGTTGTATCCAATGTGGGCCATTGCATACAACTATATAAAAGTATATGGATATCCACAGGGTTTGACGCAATTTGATGCTCTATTTTGTTATGCTCTATTGCAGTTTCTGTCTGCCGTCATGCTCAAGGACTACAAGAAGGCTTTGAAATACTGCAAATTGAGTGAGCATAAAGATACTTTTTTAACAAGTTACTCCAACTAGTGCTGCATCCTGCATATAAACGATTCATTTTCATTTTCAGTTCTGCAATACGAACCAAACAATGCAACCGCCAAGGAGTTCTATCCACTCATATTGGACAAGCTGCGCTGTGAGTCCACATTATAGTATATCATTTGTAAGCGCGTGTTCGAGTTAATTAATCAATTATTCTGCAGTGGCCGCATCGAGCGACAGCGACGAGAACTACAATAAATCCTCATCACCCGAGCTGGCATTAGATCAGGAGGCGCCCGAGGAGCGCGAGGATAGCGTTAGCAGCCGCAGCAACAGCAGCAGTCACAACAATTGCTCCGATGAGGACGATAATGACGATGATGATGACGATGTTGATGATGTGGACGTGGATGTAGATGTGGATGTGGATGAGGATGAGGATGTCGATGATGAGGATGAGGATGACATTGACAATGTGGATGTCGAAGAGGAAAGCAGCAGCAGCGCTGATGACTACGATTTGCCAATTGACGAGCAACAGGATCCGGCCGCTGTAGACAGCCTGGCTGCGCACACATCCCATTCGCACTCCCACAACGACTCGGGCTCATCGCGCAATTCCTCGAGCGGTGGTGGCGGTCGCAGCGACAATACCACTCACTCATATTCCAGCCTACTGCTGGAGGAGGAGGACGACATTGTGCCAGTCAATTTGCAATTTGGCAACAAGCAGACGAGCGCAACAGATTTAGATGTGAGCAATGGTAAGCGCTGCCAAAACCATAATTTCGATTGCCATGCCAATCGATCATTTCAATATATCTACATATATATATATATATATATATATATATGTATATTTTAGGCAACAAGGTGCCATCCGCCTCGTGCAGCGATTCGGAATCACCCACAGAGCCGCTCACCCAGCGACTGGCCGCCATATTGCGCTCCAAGTGCGGCGTATCGGCCAATAAGGATGAGCCCTATTGAGGCGCTACGCTCATTCGCAATTTATATATGCATATACTATATATATGTGTGTGCTATATACGTAACTATATTCTTGTACTTGTACTCGTACACAATGAGTTAAATGTTTACACTTCCTTTGCCCAAAACTAGTGCATTCGCTTTATGAACCTAGAAACCGTCCCGAACAGCATACAACAAATACTAACTATACTATATAAAATTCCAAATGCAATAACTTTAGCTGCGAACTAGTTCTTTCGTTCCCAAAAATCCAAATCCCTAGACAAACATATCGTACAAACTTAATAAGTACTTATTGTAGTCATATTTGTATTGTGTATGTAAATGAGTATAATCTACGCTCCAATAATAATGAATATACTTATATATATTATATATTATGATACATATACATATACATATGTATATATATATATATATACCTAACGTATTGTATAACAGAATCTATTTTAGTAAAACACACCCATGCAAAACGCACAGGACTTGGAATATTGTTGGATAACTTTACACGTTTAGCGTTTTATAGAGGGCGACGTTTTTTCCAAACAATTTATATAATATAGTATTTAATTAGGAAACGGATAACGGTTTGGATAAGTCTGATAATCTGGATGGAGGTAAATAGTACTACAACTGAAATGGTCCAAAGTCATAAACTATATTAAACGAATACCATAAACAATTCTTGTTTGCATTAAGCATTAAGATTCTCGTGATTTATTAAGATTTTCTTTGATTCCGTATACGTAACTATATATGTATGTATAGTGCGATCCACATTTTCCAATATACATACATATGTACATAACCCCATAGATATGTATCTCATAATGCCCGCTCCATGAGCTTAACTAAATGACGAAGACACATATATGATTATATACTATATAACTACATTTATACTTAGAACGAGATTTGAGAAGATTGAACCCTCTGTGTACCCTTGATATTTATAGCAATTTATTGGTGTTTTTAAATCGGTTCCAGTTCAACTTTATGTAATCATATTATATTCGAAATGTATTCTACGTATAACGAATTGTATCATTCAAAGTTGTAATAAAGACAGCAGGCCAACAATTTAAGCGTTTTAATTACTAAAGAGTTTAGTTTATTTTATTTTTATTCCAGATATACAAATACTCCATGACATTTATGTATTTATATGATATGGCAGCCGGATGCTGATAAGCTTTTGATCATTATTTAAGAGCGTAATCAAATTTGAAGTTCTCATCTACTCCCACGACAACTATAAGATCTAATATATATACATATATAGTGGTCAGATTGCGGACAACAAAACCTGCTTATATTTATTTACTTAGCTCATCTTTATAATCAAAAAAAAAAAAAACTTTTGAATAGATATGTACACATTTATTAACAAAATTATAATACCCTCCAAATAGGGTAACAAAATACCGCTAGATAGATAAATATGTATGCATACAAAACTCTTACCCTTTGCTTCATTGCCTCATCCTTATAACTGTCTTGTTCTCTCTCTCTCTCTCACTCTCTTGCTATGAAGCTGTGCCTTAACGTGAAATGCGCGCCAATAGTTGTTGTTTTTACTTAAAAGTTCGACTCCATGTATATGTATAACGAAGCCTTTTACCGATTGTTATATATACCTGTAAGGCCGGCGAACGGGTGTAAGATTAATATATTGCAGTTTACAAACACACACACACAGCTGGAAATAATCGCTATTCATATTATTAATGTTATTAATTTAACATTATTAGAAATCCGATTTAATGTACACACGCGCCCGAGACAACCGATCAATAGCACAGACGCGCACAGACTAAATTGCCTCATTGGGAGTGCGCCTATGCTAAGCCGGCATTCGCACTAATACATAAACATATAAGAGCACACAGAGTTAATCTCCTGCTCTCGCTCCCCATACCATCAGCAGTGCTCGCTACGGGCCTGAGCGCTTTCGGCTGGATACTCAACTCAGATAACGGGATCGAAAGTGTTCTAGCCAATGGCGTGAACGCAGTGAGCATACGAGTTTCTTCTGCCGCAATTCACACTGCTCGCTCTCTGAAACTCTCAAAACTACATTTTTAACTAACGGTAAAATTTTGATGAGGTACATCTATATCTGTATATATATATATAAATAAGTACTGAACCAGGTGCAAACATGTCATTTGAAACGCTTGATAAGCATTTATTTTAAATCCATTATTATCCAAGAACTTTTTATATCAGTATACATTATTTATTAACAAGACTTGCAATCGACTAATGTACTGTAAGTACATTCATTTTTTTACGTTAATTTTCGATTTGATTATTATTTTGTAAAACCTTTAATTTTATTACCATACATTGTTTGTTTTTAAAACACTTATGATGATTCATTTCTTGAATGATTCGTGATAATCAGCCAGTATTATGGTTATGGTGAATGCCAGTTGGACTGTTTGTATAACTGTATCAAAAAGAGTTGCTTTGAAATTCGATAATACAATAGGTTTCGAAATTGTATCTATGTATGTATTTCAACTATTTGAGTGCCGAAATATGTATGTATATAACTTGCATGCCTATCCATAGCCATCTGATATGTAACAAACTACTGTGATAAACAATAAATTGTTTTGATTGCATTCTCGATTTGAATACTGTGTTTGCATTTGCTTTCAATAATACTTATGTATGTGATCCAACCACTTGAAAATTATTGTTTCTATGTATGTTCAGCACCATTCAAATAAATGTAAAAGAAAAAAAAAATCGAAAAATTAAGCATAACAAAATTAACTCTATTATCGTGTTGCATATTAAATAATGTAAGTTGCTCAGAATAAAATCAGGTAATGAAGCTTTGTTTGTATCGTAAATTGCACGTACTTGTTTCGGTTTTTGTTTTTTTTTTTCTTACTTTCAGATTAAAGTATACTAAAGTATGTATGCATATGTTTGATTGATATAATGCAGCATTGAATCAAAGTTTCAGCGTTTAGCAAACTATAAAGAAACTATGTTTTTTAGTTAATTAATATGTGAATGTTTCTCGAATAATTGCATAAATTTCTTAAACCTACATATACATATATTTTTTTATCGTACACAAACAAAATTACAATGTTAATATGTATGTTTTGATTACTTAACTTTTCAATTCAACTGTTTTTATCCCTTAATCGTGAACAGTTAATCCAATTATATCGTAGCTATATATATATATGCTTACCGACAATATGTAATATGTACACGGATTTTGTGGATTTAACAACATATAACATACCTACAGTTAGTATGTCTTTCATTTGAATTAACCCTAAATGCCGCAGCTTTACGAGTCAAGTGTGCTTCGGAAGTCTGCTAAGTCTGCGTGTTTTATCGTAGGGTATATCGTATATGCGCTTAGTTATAATATTCATTAAAAAGAAACTTTCATTTGAAAACTTCAGGTGTTTCTTGTACTGTTCAGTAGAAATACATATGAATAAACGTATGTAAGTGAGTGTGTGTGTGTGAGTGTGTGTGTGTGTGTATATATACTTGTGTATGCTATAACATGTTTGAATTTACTAGTGCATTTAGGGTCATACGAGTACATTGGCACTACATCAATAAAACAGAAAGCAAATTAGTTGAAAAAAAAAAAAAGATACAATTCATATTGACTCTTATAAAAAAATGTGTAAAGTATTTATTTAAGATACAACATCATTAAAGCACAGATCAAATAAAATGTACCAAAAATAAACGATATGTGTACAGAATTAAAATGTTAACTTAAAACTTAACAGTTAGGTTTTTAAACGTTTCGTCTAGGCTTAAATGAAAAGTAAAGCAACCACAATGGCTGGGCTTGGCAAAGAATTCAACAGCTTACAGGTTTACAAGAAAATTAAAATTCTGGGCAATAATTAGACAAACTAAGTATAAACAAAAACAATTATATTTACGTATGTGTATATAGGTATCAGTCGATGAAGTCAATGTGAGATGAGCTACAAACGTAATGCATGCAATGTGCGTCTAGAGAATTTTGCATTTTCAAAATTGCCCAGTCTGAAGATACATTTCAAAAATTCCAAATAATCTCTAGGGTAGCCCACCAGTAATGTGTTTTGTTCTGTTTAACTTAAACTAAGCTAATGTCTAAGGTGGGCGGGCGGGCGCCGTGTGTTTGTATGTATCTATGTATAAATGGCAGCTCGCTCAAGTGTATGTGTACATAAAAGCTGCCTATGCACAATACTTATGCAAAACTAAATTGTTGAATATAAAAATTAAAAATGAAGACGTGACGTTCGGGGTATTCGAATCACAGCCTACGAACGTTGGCTGTGATTTAGTACCGCTTCTATAAGCAATTCGTTGTCTCCTTTGCATCCTCAATGTTGGTGTGGTTCTTGATAAGCAACTGTGTGGTTGGATATTTGTTAAGTTGCGCAAAGCGCTCCATCACACAGGAGGAGCTGAGACGTGCCTCGGCATCGTGATCCCAACACTCTTCCATGGTGTCGCAAAATATGCTGAGGCCCTGCAAATCCAAAAAAAAAAAGAGGTTTTTATATGTACAAATTATTCCTAAAATATATCAATATGTTATCTTACTAAATGGGCACGCCAGGTGCTGAGCAAATGTGGACGCAATTTCTTCATCACGACGCTTTCCTGCACTTCATCAAGTGTGGGACGCTGCCCCAGTTCCGCCTCGAAGGGCAGCTGATACTCGCCGACGGGCCCAACGACATCGCAGCGCGATACCATCTCCCACAATACCAAGCCACAAGCATAGACATCGATGCGCAAAAAGGCATCGCGATTAAAATTAATTGCACCCTCGAGCACCTCGGGCGCCATATAGCGACGCGTGCCCACCTGGCCATGCGTATCGCCGCACGGCTTGCCCGGCTGAAAGATCATGGCCAGCCCAAAGTCAGCTATGCACGCTGTCAGATCGGCCTTAAGAAGCACATTCTTCGATTTGAAGTCGCGATGCGCTATAGATGGTTTCAAGCCATCCGTTTTGCTGCCCAGTATCTCCTCGTGTAAATGCGCCAGCCCGCATGCCATGGACTCGGCAATGCGGCACAATTCGACCCAAGTAATCGTATGGGACTTTAGATAGTCGCATAGAGAGCCATTATGCTGATATGTGGATATTAGCCAATACTCGGGCTTATCCAAATGCTTCTCCACGCCCAGAAACTCTAAAATATTTGGATGCCGCATGCGAGGCAGCTTATAAATCTCATTCTCTGTTGTCCATGAATCCTTCTCCTGCATGCGAAAGATTTTCACGGCCACATCCTGGCCATGCAGCTTGGCCTGCCAGACATCGCCAAATCGGCCGCTTGCCTTCTGCTCCAGCAATTGTATGGGACGGTTGCTGAGCAGCGGTGATGCATTTGTGATTTCCGCCTCGTGCTTAAATTAAAACATGGAGTTAACTAAATGATTACAGACTTAGCTAAACAACTGTGCCTTACCTTGGGTATCTCATTGAAGTGGACCTGCTTGAGGCGTCTATAAAATGCGTAAACAAATATGGGTAAGACGACCAGAACGGCAAAGGCCGACGAGCAAATAATATAAAAGGTCATATTGTTGTTGTCCTGTGTCTTCTCTTTGGGCACTGCAAAAATATATTTGAATCAATATACAATTGGAATTGTTTTTCTTGTGTATAAATATTCGCAAATCTTATTTAAGGCACATTTCCTGCAAACAGCTTTGTTTCGCCATTTGCTTGTGTACAAGCTACATATGCATATATAAATACATATATTTATATATATGTATATATATGCAATGGGGTGCTCTTTAAATGCTTGCCACAGGTGAAAAACATCTCAAGTGGCACCTGTAGTTGGCACAGGCTTGACTGTCAGGCCCACAAGCACAAAACGAAAAACGAAAAAACGAAAGTTCGCCCCCAATTTGGCATCTCTTTATGCTCGTCGTATATAACATTTTTTTTATGCTCAGATAAAAGGGAGCTAGGCACAAAAAAAAAAAAAGAGAAAACAAAAACAAAACAACAAAGTGCAGGGCACAAAAGATACATGCCTAAGCAAATGGAAGGCCACCCGCCCAATAAAAAAAAAAAAAAAAACACAAAAAAACGGCAACAAGAACGTGCGCAGAGGGCGCAAGAAAATGTGAGGCGGGGCGCTGGGAAATTGCCACACACGCAGCAGCTAGTGAGGCAGGCTGCTGAATGGAGAGGCAACACCGCAGCACACGCAGAGTTCGTTAACACGAAATACCGTTGCAAGGGTCGCGTTCTTTAAGGGCTGTGTGATGGCCTGGCCAGCTCACCCAGCGTATAGAATGCCAAAAATTGGGGTAAACATAGAAGAACGCACAAACTAAAATACAAAACATATTTAAGATCAAATTGAAATCAGTCGCACCTTGTGTTGTTGCCTCCGTGGTGGGCGCTATCCATTTGTACTGCGTGTTGCACATGGAGCCCTTGCAACAGCAGAAATGTATGTTACCCTGTCGCGGCTGGGTGCTGGTAATGCACGCGGTCTGATTGCACTCATGCATGTCCGTGAAACAGCCCTTCATTTTGATTTTCTCGATGCCTGCAGCAAATCAAAATAAATGAACAACAAAATTGTTGCAACTTGTTGGGACAAGTGAGGCGAGAGGCACATACCCGTCACATCGTCGGCACTCCACAAGACATAGCAGCTGGGAAATTTGTCAGCCTCCACTTGGCAGCGCTCGATGGTGATGCCGCAATCATTGGACGTATTGCAATCCTTTTCGTCATAGTGCTCGCAGTTAATGTTGTGCCCCTCGGGCAGAATGGCGCCACTGGCCAGTAGCAGCATCTGGCAGCCTGTCAAAAAGGAGCGAGACGACACAAGTCAGTGATATATATTAAAATGGTTTGCATGCTAGAGTTCTAGTAAATAAGTTAGTGAAATGGGCGCGAGCCGTTGCCTTTGTAAACATATCATGTATCTGCGACCTGTGGACCAACGACCCCAATTCCAAGCCAAGTCCCAACGGGCCAACGGGCCAACGCTTTGCTGAGGCGGGGAGTCCTCAATGAGCGTTGCCATTGAAAGCCACAAGCAAAACTTTGCACAGAACACAGCAAACGCTACGCAACCCCAATTCGTGCAGAGGGCCATACAAAATTAGCTCCGCTGGCCACCAGAGCCTTTGAGTAGGCCCTTTAACCCCATTGCAACTGCAGCTGCAACTGCTGCTCCGTGTCTGTCGCTGTGTTGGGGCTAAATGTATGCATGTATCTGGGCGCAATTCGCGCGCAAATCCACGTGTGAGTGGATACCATAGCGGCACAGTGGTTCGCATGTCATTTATCAATACTAACTTATAAAATTTGCGATTTTGTCGAACTCTATGTTGTACCATAGCTAAATCTTATTTGCGATTACATTGGTATTTTTCAGTTTTCACAGCAAAAAATTTTAATATTTCTTAAAAATAAATATATTTTACTAAATATAACTGGACTCTTGCCCTATTTCCGAACAATCACATAACAATCAATCAAAATGATCTCAATCAAGCAAATTATATTTATCATTAAAGCTTATAAGGCACAATAAATGAGATTTCCCTCTTTTTAAAATATAAAATAAAATATATATTATATTCCCAGGAAAACCTTCAGTTTCAGCATATTCATTAACATGCGCAAATTAGCATCAATTAAACATGCTTAGGCCCACTGTGCACACGGGTAATCGGATCTATATGTGCATATGTATGTATGTAAGTATACATGCGAGCGTGCGAGCATGCTTTATAGTAAAGTAGATACATAAGCATGCACATTATGCAGATTGAAAGGGGATGAGTTTAAAGTGGCGCTTGTTGAAAATAAAGAAACAACAGCGGGAGAGAGAGAGAGAGAGAGAGAGAGTGAGTGAGAGAACGAACTAGAGACAGAGTGTAAGGCTGCAGATTTTCACCCACGCGAACGCACAAACAACAAGTTTCTAATGCAACGTCATCCATTCAAAGAAATCATTGCATGCAGCTCACACACACACACGCACACACATGTGTTGCTGAAAACAACAGAAAAGCGCACTAAGAACAACAACAAAGCACGCGCCAAGCTATTCAATCAGGCGTAACAACAGGGGGCAAGCGTATGGGGGGAAACTGTAAATAATATCGACAGCAAGCCGTAACGTACAAACGAGAAGAACGAAGAAAAAAAACATACACACACACACAAATACTAAATATATACAGACGCACTAACAATGCAAACTATGCTCAATACATACCTAGAATAAGCTGCCCCACCAGATAAAACAACTTGTATTCGTATTTGGACATTGTTATTGCGTTATCGCTGTAACTTGTTTACAACACAAAATGTATACGTAACTAGACACACACGCGCGATAGTTGGGAGAATTTCTGTTTTTATTTTGGCACATATAAATTTTCCTTTGGAGAAATTGCGTTTCTACATTTGATTTGGCCAAGATTTGGGTTGTAAGCATTGACTGCTCTTGTTGCAGTTTTTAATCCTAGAATTTAATATTTCATATTATGTATACATATGCAGCGGTGTGTGTGTGTGTGTGTGTGTGTGTTATGTATGTAATTTATTTTCCGCTGCTGCAGTCGCAGCAAAGTTGCTGACCACACGTTTTTTCCATGTGCATTTTCACGTTTTTAATGGGTGTTATCTCTAATATGGCTATCACATTTCCTTTGTGGCTCTTTAAATGCGTTTCTATGCTGCATTTTATGCTTTTAATAAATTATTTTTAGTCGATTTATCTTTTGCACGCAGCTCCCACACGCAACTACGATTGTCACAATTGGTACAAATGTACCAAAACGAAGCATATTTACCAACACATATCATTTTTATTGACATCCCTGGTTGCACAAAGGGTACAAATGTATGAAACTAATACGGTTTACCAGCACTGTTTTTAAGTGGCGCCCGTGCTCAGAATTGGGCGGTGGTAGTTATATTCGATTGGACACAATCGATAGATATTTTAATTTGAATGGTCACACTTGAAGAAAATCAAAAGTCCGTTTCTTTTTAAATGTAACTACTTACATTCAGATTTGTGAAAAATATATAATCTAATCTGGCCAGAAAGTGTTATACTTAAAATCGCCTGGTCTTACTGTACTTCACATCTAATGTATTCAAATAAAAACCCCAATGTTTTTTCTCAATGAGTCAAATGACTTCATCATGCGGTAGAACGCGTCGACTGTCACGTTCTGCGATAGTTTATCTTAACAATGCACTGATTAGATGTCAGCGCATTGCATGTTAATAATAATACAAATACAATATTAACTTACAAATTTTATATACAACAATGAGTAATTTCCTCTAACTAGGATCACTTAGTGCCATCCAGCTTGGTCAGACCGTCGGCATACTGAAACTCTGGGCTGTTCTCGTACTCGCACATGTCCAGGGCAATGACGCAGCTCTCCTTGACGACACGTTTCTCATCATTCGCATAACAGTTCAGTATCTGAATGCACTCCTCGGTGGCAATGGCGCCCAGTGCTTCGGCACACTCGTGACGCACCATTTCGTTCTCGAGGCGATCTTCCAGGTTCTCCTGCAGATACGGTATGCTGCATGGTTCCTGTAGCTGACCCAGGACGAAAGCGACCTCGTGCCGGAACAATGCCGACTTATCCTTAAGTCCCTCGGCCAGGGCCAGAACGCTCGGCTCGGTGCGCAGATTACGCAAACTGAACATGGCGCGATAGCGATCGAACAGACTATGTTTGGCATCCAAATAGATGGCCTTTAGCTCCTCCACGCTCTTTGTGCCTGCTGTTGGCGGAGATGGGTCCACAGACGCGTATGGGTTATTATCGTCCACCTGTTGACCGGTCTGCAGCCAGCGCACACGATCCAGCGCTATGGCGCAAGTCTCAGCAACTTCAATAACTGAATCCTCCTTGTATTTCTCGAGTATTGGCAAAACCTCAGGTTGGCCAATGGCGCCCAATGCTTCGGCAGCCTCATGGCGCACCATCGGCTCTTGGGTGGTGTCCTGCAGCACTTTGCTGAGTATTTCCACGGCCTGCGTGTCCTGCATCTGTCCCAAACAGTAGGCCAATTCGTGTTTCAGCAGCGCGGAATCATCATCAAATGCTTTGCTGATTGCCTCAATTGCTGCCCCTCCGCCGATATTTTTCAATGTGAACAGTGCACGGAAGCGCTCCTTAAGCGGTCGTTCCTTATTGTTCAGCACACCGCCAATTGCTTTGATCTGTTCCTGAGATACCATTTTTGATTTGCTTCAATAAATAAAAGTAAATAACGAGCAGCCTGCCTCGTGGAAATTTATCAAGTGTAATATACAATTTATCGAATCTATTTGCCAACCACCACAGCGAAAGTAACGTAATTTTCAACACTGGCTAAAAAGGCCGCCATAAAAAGTGCCTGTGCAACACTTACGTTTAAGAAGAAGCAAATAGTCCAGTTGTTGGGTTACGTTTATCTTTGCCTTGTAAAGAAAACGTCAAAAAAGTGCGAAATACAGCGAATTTTCTGGCGAAAATTGTTGAAACCCCTATTTCAACATATACCGGTGCTACAGTCGATTAGTAAAATAGTTGGTCTTTGTGCGAACTAACTAAAAATTGCATTTAAAAAATTTGCGCGTTCACGGTTCGTTCAGCGTGGCGTGTGTATGTATATATGTGTGCGTAATATACCTGCTAGTTGGTTTGATTCGCTGTCTCAGTGCGCAAGGAGAGCAAGAGAGAACTCGCTACTTTGAAGCGAAGCGTTGCAACTGAACGAAAACATTGCAAAATACAAATAATTGTATTTTGTAAGCAATATTAATATCAATACCGATATCATAATGTCCGACGAGACCAGCATACAGAAACCGGAAGCAGAGGCCGTTGCCGAGGCGAAGGCCAACAACGATGAAGATGCATCAATTCAACCGGCGGCAGATGAGAAGAAGACACCCGTAAGTGTTTAGAAATATGTGTGAACATACATACATATAAGTTTGCATATATATATATTTATATATGTATAGAGACGGTCACAATTAACACCGGGGGTCGTGCGATAAGAGCGCACTTTACAACTAACACACTCGCACTGTGACGAACAGAATTATCTGGAAGAGCGTGCGCATTATAAATGTATGTACATAGATGTTTGGGCTAACGCAGTATTATTTCAGAATTATCGAAATAACACACACTCGCAGACACGTATTTCAAAGTGTAACTTATTTGATATCGTATTTTCTGCAATTTTCGTGTTGATGTTAATTATGTTGCCCTCGTGTGCGCGCGCTTTTCCCAACATCCCCCGTATGTGTGTGTTCGTGTGTGTATACACGTACATATAGTGCATGTTTGTGTGTGCGTGTGTATTTATTTTTATATGTCGCGTGGTACACTCGCTGCAAGCAATCGGTAGTCTCTTTTGTGCACGTTTTGCCGCTGCGCGCGCGTCTGTCTCGTTCTCGTTTGTTTTTATTTTTCTTGTTCTCTTTTTGACTTTTTGTTGTTTGCTGTACTTTGTCATACATGAATGTATGTATGTATGTATGTATCTTAAATGTGTGTGCACAGAAGCATTAATACGTTGCGCTTCAGAACGGGCATTTATTTACCGTTAAATAGGAATTAGGCGGGTTGAATAGACGGGTTAACGATTTGTTTCACTTCAATTCAGTCGTATTCTCTTGCTGAGAAATATCGTGAAATGTTTTGATGTGTATGTAAACAATCATTATAGAAACGCACGCCCAAGCGTCGCTCCTTCATTGAGCGGGCTCAGCGCGAGAGTGAAGAGCTGGTGCGGACAATGGGTGGCAGCTTGGAGCTGGAAGGTGGACGACGCACTCGATCCAGTACTCGTGGTACACCAACGCGACCCGCCGAAACCGTAACGCCGCCACCGAGCAAAAAGGCGCGCACATCCCCAGCGACGACTAAGAGCGGCGGACGGGGACGCGGAGCACGCAAATTGGATATAGCCGGCGGTGAGGAAGTTGAGCAAGAGACTGCTAAATCCAAGTCAGTCATAGCGGACGAGCAGGAAGAGCCGGTGCAGGCAAGCGAAGCTGTTAAGTCAAATGTAAGTTAATTGAAGTTTTTTTTTTATTATTAAACATAATTTATCTAATATCATAAATTCAAGGTTGCTGCAAAGAAAGGAAAGAAAGAAGAGAAGGTTCAAAAGGCTAAGGAAGCTGATGTAAAGGAGACGGTAGATACCAAGAGCAAAGACGATTCTGAACCTAAAGACACGGAATCAAAAGTAACTGCGTCCCAAGCCACAGAATCAACGGATCAGCCAGACTCTGCTGCCCAAGTGCCTGCAGCGCAAGATAAAAAACAAAACAATGTTGTTCACGATAAATCAAATACAAAGGAGCCTGAAGTGAAGGAGAAAACGCCCGAGCCATTGGCAAAGCCGGAGGAACCAGCTGAACCAGTTGAAAGCCCACAGAAAAGTGATGCTGCTGCCCCAGATTCTGCCTCAGCAATGGAAGTGGATGACGAAGAAAAACAGCAGCCAATCACAGAACAGCCTGCCGCAGATACTACATCTTCCGATACTGCTGTTATTACAGAAACAATTGACGGAAAGAATGAATCAAAAGTCGCCCAGGAAAAGGTGAGCAGTGAGGAACCGAAAGTAGAAACCTCTGAACCCGTCAAGCAGCAGACACCGGAACCCATGGAGGTAGATTCGAGTTCGAAAGCTAGCACTGAAACCACCAAGACCGTATCACCCGTTAAAGAGGTTGTGCCAGTAGCAGCTGCCGCCGCAGCCGTCGAGTCTGAATCAGATCAGACGACAGTAAGTAATAACGAAGTCGTTGAATCGGCTATCGAAGTCAAAGAGGATGCACCAGTCGTACCGGAGAAGGAGGTAAATGCTAGCGAAGTCGAGAGCACACCAGCAGAGAACAGTACAACTAAAGCTGATGAAGCACCTGCCAACAATGATGTAAGCAAACTGTCTGTGCCGGTTGCCCAAGCCGATACCGTCGTAACGGAGACACCGCCAACGGCCGTTAAGGAGCCGCAGGCCAACTGTGAAAACAAGTCCGAGCACAATGACAATGGTATGTCGATATATTTGATTTAGAAATTTAAAAACTTATAATAAAACTAAAAAACTTGTTGCAGGCGAACCGAAGATCGTTAACAATGCCACCGACGATGGGGAAAACCATGTAACGCCGCAGGCTTGCAATTAAGCAGAAGCAATATTATAATAATGATGATGATAATGAAAACCAATAACTATAGCTCGTGCCGAAAGTGTACAAGTGTAACTTCGAATCGATTCGACAAGTTGCCGCCAACAAATAAGCAAATAACAAGAGTTTTACCCAAAAACGGGCATGCATAGGTTTAATTCTGTTTCCATTGTCAAGTTTTCTTTTTATTCTCAAACCACAAAATGGTACGATTGCAATTCACTAACCATCTTCCAGTCTTTGGCTTAATTATTTTATGTCTTAGGCTGTAATCGATGCTGGATTTTAAATGCTGATCTGTGTGCGCAATATATAGTAACAAACACATACAGCAAATAGAAACTAAAACGTAGATCTAACCCGCCAACACACACCCAGCCCCACACACACACACACACACACACACGCACACATTGTTAAAAGCATCCAACTATAAATAATATGTATGTGTAAATTTAATTAAATTGGAAACAAAACAAATACATTATTGAGAAATGTATGTAAAATAGATGTTTTTAAATTATAAGACATAATCTTTAATGCAAAACTAATTTTAAAACCGATTTGGACAACACTCAAAACCCAAGAAAAGATTTTTAAACAACTGATGCGTCGTTCAAGAATTTAAGTACATAAGCATTAAAAACTTTACCAATGCCATTCACACTTACCTGGCTATTCACGATACATATTACGTATATATCTCTACTTATTATTTTTTTTTTGTTTAATTTCTATATAATTTTTCGTATTTTGAAAACCGCTCACTTAAAGCATTTAGTTTTTAACGTTTTGTCATCATGTAATTTAAACGGATAAACCTAAATCAGATAACGCATCAATTGTATTCCGCATGGAATTTGTGAATTGAAAACAAAAGTCTTTTCCACAATCTTAACTAAATTACGACAAGTACTGTAAAATTTTTCAATGAAAAATGCTATATATAAACAAAAACACAAAACAAAAAAAAAAACAAACTAAACAAAAAAAAAAAAACACAACACAAGAGCGTAAAAATACTTTGGAACTCTTTTTGTAACTGAAACAATCAGCCGAGGCCGTTTTTGTATGTAGCTGGATACTTTCTGTGTAAGAAATTCTTCATTTAAATATTCTTTTGTAAATAAAACTTTTAAAAATACAAAAGAGAGAGATAACATTGTGTATTAACTACAAATAGTTTTAAGTACAAAATTTGCTAAACCTATGCCGCACCATTTTCCTGCACAGCTTTTGTCAATGGTTCCTTTAATGGCAGCTCCTCTAGCTCCAGCACCGGATCGGGCACATTTAACATGTTGCGCACAAATGGCGAATACAATTTTGGACTTTGTTTCTCGTTTCTGTCCGGGCGCCACACATAGCTCATGGGCACTGCCCAGACGAATATCAGAATAGCTCCCAATACCTTATACCAATAGAAAGATATGTCATAGACTGAAAAGTCCCGATTGCTGCCGAAAGCCGTTGTCACATTGGTTGGCACAGGGGCAGCTGTTGTTGTTGCTGTAGCCGTACGATTTCTGGAAGTTAATAAACATATTTATAATCGTTAATAATGTGCATAGAACCTTTGACCCACAAGCAGTTTTATATAAACCTAGATATAGATATAGAAAAAATTCTCGATAACACTTACATTGCATTAAAAATCGTGTCTAGGCCACGCGCCTCACACTGATCCAAGGTATTTGGCAATACTTCATATTTAATAAGGCCCGCCTTGATGTTCATCTGGGCATTGACGATGACCCACAGCATGGCAAGCACACTGAACAAAATGCTGGTCATGGCCACCTTCCCATTGACACGGGGCACAAACATGCCCAACAGAAAGATACCCACAACGGCGCCCGTATTGATGCCCGTAATCGTCCACATGGTCTGCAATATTGAGTTGAAACGCTGCACAATAAACCCGCCCACAATACAGTAGCCGCCCATGGCAATGATGACCAGTTTCATGAAACCATTGGCCCGTGCCTCCGTGTGCCGTATATGGGGCTTGATATAGTCGAAGTAAACAACGCCGGCGAACGAGTTAAGGTTAGCCGAAAGTGAGCTCAGCGAAGCGCTAAACACACACGAGATGAACAGACCCGGCATGCCGGGCAGATTACCCATTATGTCCTGTATAAAGAAGGGCATCATTTTGTCCGGCTTGCTGACCAGCTGTGGGCAAGAAGATGCAATATTAGTTCGGATAAAGCTGGAAGTGCGAAGTACTTACGCCTGCCAGCATGGGATCACAGCCGTAATAGTAAGCAAACATGATGATGCCAGCAAAAGAGGTAAAGAACATGATAATCAGAAAACCAAAGCCAGCAACAACAAGAGATCTGTTGGACAGTGTTATGAATATATATGTTTGATGAGTACGTAACGCTCGGCTTACTTCTTGGCATGCGCATACGAGGGCAAGGAGACAATGCGCTGCACACAGCTCTGATCTAGTCCAATCTTGCCCGTCCAAAGTAGTAGGCCGCTGGTCATGCTGTTCCAGAAGGTGGCGCGTATTCTTGGATCAAGTCTAAAACTACATGAAACAAAAGTTGTTGTTGGCATTGAAACACTTCTCGAGCCAGTTGAAACTTACTCAAAGTTGAAACGACCGCCTTCCGAGGCATACTCGAGCACAGTACCCAATCCTCCAGTTCGCATAGTGCCCAGCACGCCCACCATTATCACAGAGAGCAGCATAACGCCAGCCTGAACCACATCCGTCCAGACGACCGCCTTGATGCCGCCCAACATGGTATAGAAAACGCAGATCGATGAGACTACGGTATTGATTAGGTGAATATTTATGCCGGTCACTGTGAACAAAAGTAAATACTGGTTAAAATATATGTTTAAGTGAGTGTAGCTCGAATTTGCCGTGCAACGATTCTTAAACGTGTACAAATAAAATTTTTCACGATTTTCACTTTGCGAAGTGGAATTTCCAAAATCGGTGAATTACTATTACACTTTGCAATAATATTTAAAAATACTTTGCACAATAATTTTTACATTATCAATAACTTCTTTGCTTAGATATGATATTAAGTTAAAATATGATCAGCCAGAAATTAAACTTTCAACTATTGATCTATATTTTTCACTGTGGGGTGTGGATTTTGTGAAAACTGTGGAACACGACTTTGAATATTAAAAAAGACCAAATAAAAATTTTGAAGCAGATGGGATTAAAATTAAAAGTTGTACACAATAGTTTCACACGCATATTCCGCAATTGTAGGTGAACTCATGCAAAGTCACCGAAAATTGGTACATTTTAAAAATATGTACATACCTTGAGAGAATGCCAGTGAGGGTATAAACATATAAACAGGCAGCATTAGAAATTGATTCAAAACAAATGTCAGCGTCACGAATTGACGAGTGCGTTTATTAAATCGCATCTCCAGATACTGTCAGTAAAAGAAAATTTATATTATATTAAACAAACAGATAAACGACTATTTACACCAACCTACCTCATAACAATTGACGACATTGTTGTCATAGAAGACGGGCACAATTATATATATCAGTATGGGAACAGTTGGTATCATGGCTAGCACCGCGAATATAAAGTTAAAGCCGTACGTATAATTCTCAGTGGGAATGGACATGATGGCAACACCTGACAGTTGACTGAAATGGAAATAATAAAACTAATTCTTACATGCAATTCAATTATCCAAAAGGGGGCGCGAGCGCATAAAATAATAACATTTATCTTAAGCTAGTAAAAAGTAAATGGAATAACAGATGTAATCTGCATTGACAAAACCTTCAAACAGATAAGTTAAGATAACGCCGGCTGGCATTGACTTTTGTGAATGATGAAACCGGCTAAAACCGATTGCCACTAAGGCACACTGGATTTACGCACCTGGAGACCAAAGATATGGCTATGGGCAGCGCTTGCATCTTCTTGCCGCCACGCAAATATTCCTCAGTGGTGTTCTTCGCCTTGGCGAAGAAGCCAAAGTAAACGCCAATGGACGCGGACACAGTCAACATAAGTATAAACACTGTATAGTCGGTCGAACCGAAACTTAAGTCCTCCACCTGTGCTGCGGCTGCAGCTGCTCTGCTGGCCAGTGTAGTTGTGGGTCCCGACATGCTGACGCTCCTAGTATCCTTTGCACTTCCCTAACACAGTTCAAATCACAGCGCGTGTGGCTGGTCTGGATGCTGCCGGCACACTTAGCATCGACGCAGTCGTATTACTTCACTTAAGTAGAGATCACAGGTAGCTTATCAGTGGCTGGCATATCTGCTAGACGCTGTAGTAAAAGTTGATGGTCCATCATAAAACAGGGCCATTAACTACGTATTTCTTCAACGTTTCCAAACGTTTAAAGGCTTCTGTCTTCGTCACGTCAAATGCACATGAGAAGGTACCAGCCCCCAATTGGCTTCATTCAATAAGCCAAGTCATAGGCGATTCCCTATGAATCTTACTAAAAGCGGAAGCTACAAATAGATTGATAGTCCTATTGCCTGCTTTTAGGGAGCGTTTCCTATGATAAGAACAAGAAGCCAACAGAATATCTTTGAAAAATAAATACTCTTACTGACACGATTTGTTTCTGATCATTGATCAGTATATGATGATTATGATCGGTCAGACTTGGCTTGGTTAGCGATTCGTCGCATTACTGCTCATAGCACAATTTTTTACACATATTGTATGCCAAATTTCATCAAGATAGTTGCAAGGTTAAGAGATATAGTTGTTCTTAAATATTTATAATCTAGAGCATCTATATCATATCATCTAGGGCATATCTGTATATATTATGTGGAATTTATCTATCTATCTAATCTATATGTTACATATTTTTAGACAAGCTTATAATCTTCTGAAAGGGTATACAAAGCGCCAAGCATTATCTGACGTAAAGCAGGTAGCAAAAGTCGTAATGGTCCAGGAGGAGAGAGTAGAGTCCATAATTAATATAACCCACAAGCTTATCTGAGAATGACAAGCAAATTCTAGGCGCCAGGCATTGTGTGATATTAGATATGTTTGCGTGCATCATATAAATGCACAAGCTGGGAGACAAATTAGATACACAAATATGTTATAGACAATATCATATTTAATATATGCAAAGGCACGAAAGTTCGTTAAGAAATAATACTAAGATGAGTCCATTTAAGTAGTCGCTGTATTCTCCTTTTTCGTCTCACTTAAATCTATCTTGAGCTCGGGATCTGCCTTCAACTGGGTTCCATTCAGCGGCAGTTGTTCCAATTCGTAAACATGATTCAGGTTTAGGAATTTCCTTACAAACGGCGTATAGAGCTTTGGATTCTGGGTTTGCTTCTCGTCTGGCTTCCAGATGTAACTCATGGGCACTGCCCACAGG